GCAAAAAAAAAAAAAAACCGTAGGCAGATTTAATTATATATATGGAACCTATGGAAATAGACCAGAAGCCTGAGGCAGTATTACATTCTACTTTCTTGAGAAACAATTACACTTAACGGTAAAAGTGACCAGGGTGCTTTCAAACAGCTCAAGAATAAGCATTAGAAGATTCCTTACTTGCATTGTTGTCACTGTTGTCATATCACCATTAACATTGGGCCTGCTCAGAAAACTCAAATCTTGATAAAACCTATGCACCAATTCTGGTGATTGATGAAGAATATGGTAATACTGCTGTACAAAAGCATTACCAACAACTTGGGCACTGGGGCCATGGGCAGGACTTCCTTCCTGCATTGCCATCTGCATGTTCATTCCAACCATCAGACAACAAAACTAAGAGAAGATAATAAATAACATTTGCAATTATTAATAAAACATAAAAAAGGAAAAACAATGATCAGCACCCAATCCTCCCTGGGGATAAATGCATGCAACAACTCTACACCATTTTAAAGTTTTTAAACAATGGGTCCCAATTAACAAAATTTTGGCTCAACACAATTACCATAAAAGATTAGAAGACCAAATTCAAGAAATTCATAATTTCAAGCACACAAGCAGAATTAATATTGGGGTATCACAGACCATGCATAGGGATTTCATCACAAGGCCCTGATTGGAGTCTAAGAAACAAGAATATTTAAGAACACTAACGCTCAATCAATTTCAGCAATTTCCATTAAAAGGAACTCTCCAAAGTAAACCATGAATACATGTTACGGATGGGACAATACAAGAAGAAAGCTGATAACTTTGGTTGCTGTCACAATAACCAAACAAAAGAACATAAATTTACCCAAATTAAAACAAGCAAAACACAACACCAAACCAGAGAACGCAATTGATATATATTTGGAACTATGGAAACAGACCAAAACATTTAAGAGTCAGGGCAATTGATGTTTTAAGTCAATGAGAAAAAGTTACGATCATTGATTATTTGACTGCAAATCAGCAATGTAAGCAAAAAAAAAAAAAAAAAAAAACCACAGAAAAACCCTTCTACAAATCACCGTAATTCAGCTGATTAAACAACAAATTCTTCAGCAACACACCATCCTGCAAGTGATTACAGATCAACCAAACACGACCATATACCGATTAAGTTAACAGATCCATACACGGAGAGACTAACGAAAAAGTTGCGATCGAAGTTACCGAATTTGCTGAGGATTTGCACTTGAGAGAGAAAGATCGGTGAAGTTCAGAGGAGAGCAGAGCGAAGCGGAAAGACAGTACGCGTACGAAGCAAAGAGAGGAGAAAGAAGAGAGAAGATACCGAAATAATACTTCTAAAAATAATAATTAATATTAACAAAATCTTTTATTTTATTCCTTTTCCCTTTTCAGTCGCAAATCAGAAACAAAAGAAAAAGATCGACTCGGATTTTGCTGCCTCTTATTTTGATTACGATTTGTTACGAAATGTAGACACACTCAGCATCTCAAGTCCGTACTTTGAGACGGTGAGAACATCGTCTCAGCAATTTTCTTATTTATTTAACATAAGAATATAAAATATAATATATTATGAGATTAATGTTTATCAATTAAATTTATAAAAAAATTATATAAAAAATATTTGTAAATTATATTTTTTAAATAAAATATTATAAAAATCAAAATATTTTTATTTTTATTTTAAAACTAATTAAGATAGTTTAATTTTTAACAAATTTTTAGTAAAATAATATAATTTTAAAATATTTTTTACTTAATTTTGTAAATTAATACTTACTTTTCTGATATATTATTATATGTTAATAAACAATTATAAATTGGACAATATATGTTGATGTGTCATTATATTAAAAATTATATTAAAAGATGGAGATATAGCTAATATTGTATTTGTGTTATATGAAAGAATCTTTTGTTAAAAGAGAAAAATTGCAGTCATAGACTAGTCTGTAAATAACTTGCAAACTGTACCCCTATTTAAGCCAAATCTGACTTGAGATGAATCAGTGACATAGCCAGAATTTATAGTCAGGGGAGGCACAAGCTAAAAATAAACATTTACTTCTTTCCCATTTTTATCTCAGACCACTGGCTAAAAAAAAACCTTCTTTCCAATTTTTATCTCAGACCACTGGCTATAAGCAATATTCAATATGTTATTTTATGGTTTTGTTGATTTGTTCTTATTTACTCTTGTTCAATTATACTTTTAGTACATTCATAAATCAATACTATAGTAAAATTTAAAATCTAGAATATAAACTCAACAATTCAAAAGTCTAAAATCAGCAATGGTACAATAAACCTTTAAAATCAATTCGCAAGTGGACAAATTTAAGTTTTCGTTTGTTGGTGCTTTTCACATACTCTTTTTTATGCAGTATCATATCTAAAAATATAAATTTTTAATTTTTAATTAATTTTAATTAATATTTTATATATTTTTTAGAGAATAAAAGACTAAAAAATCTATAACTATGCTAATAACCTAAATAATTCAGTGGTTATCTTTTTTTACTAAAAGTAAGAGATATTAAGTTCGAGTTGCATAGTATGCGGATGGAATAAGATAAAAGATGATAAATGATTATTTCTTATTGTGCAACCAAAAAAAAAAAATCTATAATTATAGTACACTATAACACTAATTAAAAACAAACCCTAAGTCAACAACTCAAAAACAATGTAATAATTAAACCAATAATTTTTTACCACAAAATAATAGTTACAAATTACAATATAATAATTTATTAAAAACATAATAAAATAGAATAATAAATTTCTTGATTTTTCAACTACATTTGGACATTATTTAAAAACTACAATCTATAGGCACCTAACCCTTCGGGTCAACTGGTATCCTGCCAACTTGAGGTGCATTCCCCCTCTCCCATGAACGGGCTTTGATCCCACCCTTGACAACTTGTTCAAAAAAAAAAAAAAACTACAATATATAGAGAAATTTTAAGAACCCAGTTGAAAAGAGATTTTCTTGCCCCAAAAAAAAAGAATTATAAACAAATTGTATTATTGTACTCTAAGTTTAGAAGTTAAAGAATCTAATACTAATTAAAGAATAATTCAGATAAATCAAGGAAAACAAGTAATTAGGTGGAGTTAGCTACGTAAAAAACCTAAATATACGGGCAAGCTAGACCCTGCAACTTTTATTCTTCTTTACTAAATGTATTTTTATTTCATTTGTTAGGTGAGACAGATAAATATATTAAATTTTTTAAATTTAAAATTTAACATAATTTTATTTTTCAATATCTAACCCATTTTTGCCATTGGGTTCAACTCTTTTGATAAATAAGTTGAGCTCGAGTTTAATAAAATAATGAATTTGATCTTAAGTTTGCATATAGAATTGTGAGTATTCGGTTTATAATTAAAAATTAGATTTTATATTTATCACAAATTAAATTATATAATACTTAAAAGGCTAAAAAAGTAACTTTATAATTTACATATTTTAATCTTTTAAACTAAATCTTTAAAAGATTTGAACCTAAACCCAAAACTAAAATGGTGTTGATATGATAGTTTAAAATTAGTAGTTAGTAGTTTCATTAATTGTACATTTTTATAATAAATTTTTATAGAAAAATATAAAAGTAAATATTATTTTTAATGTTAGTATCAAATAAATGATTTTAATTAGATAATTGATAAATTTAAAGTTAGCTTCTATTTATTCTATGTAAATTAATTGTAATTCAAATATTTTTATTTAATCAATTAGGTATAATTGCTAACTGCTAGTTTCAATCTATTATACCAAACACCCAATAAGCTATAATCTATGTTAAGTAGCCCTAATTTCTTAAAATTTATAATTCAATCAAGTGCTTAGTTGTGTCTTTATTGCTCCCTTCATCTTCACTGACCAAAATTCTTTTATTCTTCTTTGAAAAATGTTGAAAAGTTTATGATTGAATGATTTATGAGGAAGGATCCACTTATATACAAGTTTTATCCATTATATTTATATTAAATTTTAATCATTTATATTCTACTTTCAATGATTAAGATTTAATAATTATCTTTAATAAATATGAATAAGTCTTAACTATTGAAAAAGAGAAAAAGAGAAAAAGAAAAAATGAATGGTTGAGATTTTACGTAAGTATGATGTGTAAAACTAATGTATAAAATTTATGTATAAGTAAATTCTTACTCGTGATTTATTATTGAAACAATTTGAAATTATAGGAAACATGCTCAAAGCCAAGCGCAAGTACTTGCTCATCCTCAAACTCACAAGCAAGTTTGACCTCGGTCAATTACTAGAAAGTTAGAGCTAGACTCTAAATATTTATGGTGAACTTGAGTATAAGTACTCAAATACTTAACTAAATTCGACTCATTAACTATTCTAAGGAAGTATTTAAAAAAAAGATGAGGGCTATCCTTTATATCCTCATTCTTGTGATTGGTGGGGATGGGATCCCCTCAAAGACATTTTTACGTAACAAATTTTGCCTCTTTGCACACGTTACACGAGGAATAAATTCCACACGAGATCTCTATTCCTGCGCAACAAAACTATAAAAAAAATTTTAAAAATATTAATATGAAGAAAAAAGAAATAGACTTTTAATTTTTTTTTAATTTTCTACTTAATTTAATCATTTTTAAAATTAAAATATTTAATGAGTTGGGTTTAATTAGGGCTTAGCATTGGATATAACTGTACACTTTTTTTTAATGGTAGGATATAGGTGCACCTATATATACCCAGCACTGAATTGTAAAATTTTGAGTTAATATTCACATAATAATTACTATTACTTTTAGAAATAAAAATAATACTTACAATATAAAAAATAAAAGAGAAATAAAAGTTGGTAAGTAACTCAAACAACAAATCTAATTAGTAACATTTGATTGTATAAAATTGAATTAATATTTGTATAATAATATTATTGTTTTTAACAATAAAAGTAGTGCTTACAGTATAAAAAGTGAAATAGAAATAAAGGTATAAGCAGCTCAAACAACAATAAGAGAAAAAGTGTACGTAAATAAAGGGCATGATTGATTCATCTTCCAAATGTTTTAGCTTTTTTTGATATTATTTATATTTCATAAATTAAAATTTTTTTTTTTAAATTTATAGTTTTAAATTTTTTTTAGGTTTAAGTACCATTTTGGTCCCTCAACTTTTCACTTTGGTACCAAAATTGTCCCTCAGCTTTAAAAAGTACCAAAATTATCCTTAAACTT